CTAGTAGTAACAAGAAGCTAGTAGTAACTCGATGCCACTAGCAGGTTAGAGGCCATCCTTTGGATTGGCATCGCGACATAAAAACACAAGAAGGTTGGTGGGAGGCCATCGCTAGTAGAGGCGTAACTGGGCGTCTGCCAATGGGGTGAGACTGCCACAGCGAAACGGACAAGCCGACAAGCAAGGTTCGCTAGTAACAAGTGCATCGCTACTAGTAACAGGTGCCTTGCTAGTAGTAACAAGAAGCTACTAGTAACAGGTGCCACGCTAGTAGTAACAGGTGCCTTACTAGTAGTAACAAAGTTCGCTATTAATGACTTCGAAAGTGCGTTTTTTGGCATTTGAACGCCGGTGGGGTCCCCTGCCCTCCTAATACGTAATTACGGGCGATTAGTTCGCTACTAAAAGTTTGCTTCTACATATGGATGCAGGATAGCTCACGCGAACTTCAAGGAAGCGCTCGCACTAATGATTTGGGAAACTACATCTCACAACTTCGTTTCCTAAAAAGCAAGGACGCTACTAGGGGCTCCTGGCCTTACTACTAGGAGCAAGGACGCTTACATTAAATTAAAATTAAATGTTGTTTCCTAAAAGCATCCCTTCATAAGTTCGTTTCGTTCGGCTGTTTCGCCAGTTTTGCTCGTCTCCAGCCCTTCCATTTCGCAAGGCGCCTTTCGGATCCATATCAGATCCCAAAGTCTAGTGTGAAGAACTCATAAAGTATAAAGTAAAAACTCACAAAAACACGTGGCTCTCAATTTTGTTTTCGAATATATTTATCCATTTGACTTCTCCTGAAGTCTTTCTCTTCTTTAAAAAACCGAAGAGAGATTCCGGACTGCAAAGCCAAAGCGCGAAGGAGGGAGAGAAGCCTCGGATGGAACAGCAAAACGACACCTACCTACCTCTGCCTATACTAGCTATACCTCTACCTCTAATTTGTTACTACTAGTAAGGCACTTGTTTCTAGTAGCGTGGCACTTGTTACTAGTAGCTCCTTTCTGTTTGTTGACTATATTGTCCTTCCTGTCTGAAACTGCTCGCTGACTAGCACAGGATACTGCAGCGCACACACAGCCCGTCCCCAAACAAGATATGAGTGCTGCAAGGCACAATAAGATAAATAGGCATGGAGTTGAATCTACGTTGCACGGGCATGAGCAAAAAAGGTTTTTGGATATTCAGCCTTTGCATCATCCAGTCCAATCAGATGCTGTCTCAATCAAATTCCTTCTGAAAACGTACGCAATGCATCAAGATGATGGGCTCTCGAATGACGTCCCTGTCTTTTTCATACAATCCCACTTGAACGCCCCGACGATGAGGCACGCATCGGCGCGATGGAAAACCTCAACCGTAATACCTCTTTGAATGAAAAACACCGCTCTGCTTTAACATAAAAACACTGTGGCGGCAACGACACGAGATAGAGAAGAAGAACAAGTCAACCTTCATGTCTTCAAAACAAGCTTTCCGCATAAGACTTCAGCCCCCAGTCCACACACTGCACACTACAGAGTGGCCCGTAAGTACAGGTTGCTTCGCACAAAATGTTGTACGACGACATGTTAACTTGAAGTGTGAAGGAAATCTGAACAGATTCAACAAAGGGCAAACCAGTCGAGACAAAGCCAAACACACATGAGTGGACGGTCGGGTTTGGGATGGACGCGTCCAATACGACGCACAAAAAGAGAAAGGTGTTCGTGGCCAATGGCCTTTTCGCTCGCTCACGCGTCGTGAGGTAGAGGTATAGCTATCTACCTAATAGCTGAATTCTAATAGCTTATTGTTACTACCAGTAAGGCACTTGTTACTACTAGCG